GCACCAGCCCCACTCCCAGGGATAGCACTTGAATCAGCCAGAGTTTCTGGCAGATGACAGGCAGGCTGGGAGACCCACGGAAGGGTAGGGACTGTTTTATCTGGGAGAAATACCCTGTTACTCTGTCTACTTAACCTCTCTCTGGGTTTTCACCCCATTTATCACTATGAAACATATGCCAGTAGTCTCCCTTAGCCATGGGGGATATGTTCCAGGACCCTGGGTGAGTGCCTGAAACTGTGGATAGTACCAAAACCTATATATACAATGCTTTTTCCTTTATGTACATACATACCTATGATAAAGTTTAATTTATAAATTAGGCACAGTAAGAGACTAAGAACAATAACTAATATACTGTCTATAACTAATATACTAATATACTGTTAAGAACACATAACAATATACTGTCATTAAAGTTGTGTGAATGTCTTCTCTCAAAATATCTTGTAAGTTGCTCATCCTCCTTGGTGATGTGAGATGACTCCGTGCCTACGTGATGAGATGCATCGAGTGAATCACAAATGCTTTGTGACTTAAGGTTCGGCTACTACGGACCCTCTGATGATAACAAGCACTTTGATACCACGACAGTCGGGCTGATAACAGAGAGGCCTACTAAGTGACTCACAGGCGGGCAGCTCATACAGCTCAGATACGCTGGACAAAGGGATGATTCATATTCTGGGAAGGATTCATCACGCTGCTCAAAACGGCGCACAATTTAAAACTTACGAATTGTTTATTTCTGGAATTTTCCATTTAATATTTTCAGACTGTGGTTGACCTCAAGTAAATGAAGCAGTGGAAAGCAAAAACCAGGGATTAGGCGGGGACCGCTGTACATGTTTCTGTTGTTTGTAGTGTGAACCCTCCCACATCAGTGTCAGCTACGGGAGGCCTGAGACTTGCTCCCATTTTGTTCACGGCTGCGCCTCAGGGCCTAGAGCAGCACCTGGCACAGAGTAGGCCTTCATGTGTATTTGTGGGATGGGGGCATGAGTTCCCACCAGCGCCAGTTTTTCACTGAGCCTCTAAGCTCTGTGGGTCCCTCATCCCCCTAGGCCACCCTAGCGATTCATACACTTCCATTTAGATCTCTCTGGCCACCATCAGCCTTGTATAGCCTCGCCAATCCCACCCCTTTCAAGAGGTCACAAGAGCTGGGCCAGGCGTGGCTCAGCGGTTGAGCATGGACCTAGGATCCAGGAGATGGAGGTTCCATTCCTGGTCAGGGCACATGCCTGGGCTGTGGGCTCGATCCCCAGCAGGGAGCGTGCAGGAGGCAGCCAATGGCAGGAGGCAACGGGTCAGTGACTCTCATCATTGCTGTTTCTATCTCTCTCTCTCCCTCTCCCTTCCTCTCTCTGAAATGAATAAAGATATATTAAAAAAAGATAAAAGAGGTCACAAGAGACCCAACCTCTTAGGGTTTGTGAGGTCCTGGAATATTAAACACTGAGATTCCACCCAGAATCATCCATAAATGGTAGCTTTCGGGTATACTTATTTGTGAACTATCCCATTGAATGATTTCATTTATATCAATAGTATCCTATTGAAATGTTGCCCCCTCCCTGTAACTTTGAGTTGGTGACTCTCACAGGTCTGGGCTGGAGGAAAAGGGACGGAGGCGCTCACCGCTCGGGAAGTCAGAATGCGCGACTCGGTCATTCTGCGCATGCCCATTACACGGGTGAGAAAACGGAAACCTAGAGCCGGGCAGGGTCACGAGACAAGTTACTAGCAGAGTCCGGTTTTCAAGAAAAAGGAGTTTCTGCAGGGCCTCGGTTCCTCATTTCTCAGACCCGTTCCCCACGCCCCCGTCGGTGCTCAGAACCAGCCCCACGAAGAGCTGGGCAGTTTTTCTGAGAAGGAAGTTGGATTGTCAGTTCCACGAAGCCTGGGGAACGCAAAAAAAAAAAAAAAGGAAGGAAAACCTCCTCCCCAGCTTCTTCAGTATCTCTGAATGAGGAAGGATTTTTTTTCTAGTTTTGAGGCAGGAGGACACACTCTGCTGAAGGAAGAGTCCCCCTTGGTTCTGACTCAAATCTCTGAATCTCTGGTTTGGGGTCCACGTTGGGAGACAGATTCGGGGGTCATGGGGCATCGATGGGTTTACTTTTAATTTTAAGAAGCGGGTATCTGGGAGAAACGGTTGGCTCTCGAACTTCCTCAGCCACACTCCAGACGGCGGGAGCCCGGCCACGCCGCAAATGGCTGGGGAGACGCTTTTCCCAAAATGGAGCGAGGGAAGAGAACGTCCATCGAGCGTTTAGCCCCGCCCCCGTGGACAGCGAGGGCCAATTAGCGACCCGCAGGGCGGGTGTAAGGCCAGGGGAGGAGGCTGCTGTTGCCCTAGCAACAACCTGGGAGAACGAAGGCGGGCGCGGCCTCGGAGGGATCGCGGCGCCTCGGATCTCTCGCTGCCGGAAAGGTCCTGAGAGAGGCCCGAGCCAGGCCTGGGAAGTCAGCGCCCGCGGAGAGAGGGACAGGTCAGGCCCATGAACTCCAATCCCGATGCCGCTTTCGCCCCTGCTAACATCCGTTAGCTGTTCTGAGGTAGGAATGGCGCATGCGTACGCTCAGAGGCGGGGCTTTGCGCCCAGCCCTTAAAATGCATGCGGAGGCGGAGTTTTGTGCTTGTGGGCGGAGCCATGGCCCTGGGCGGGGCTTTCCTCTGCACTGAGCAAGAAGTTATTTTTTGAGTTAGATGTCTGTTCTTCAGACCAGGCCTCCCTGCTCCCCTCATTTTTTCCAGGCTCTCCTGGAGAGCCGTTTAGGGTTGTTGTTAAGACCCCAGCGCCTCAGTGGGTTGACGAAACTACTTTGGAATCCCAGTACTGTTCCTTATTTGGAGGGCCTCAGTTTCCTCATCTGTCAGATGAAAATAACAGTACACTGACCTCACAGGGCTGTCTGTGATTCTGTTTTTCCCTCTCAGGGCCATGGCTGAGGTGCACGTGATCGGGCAGATCGTAGGGGCCACCGGTTTCTCCGAAAGTAGCCTCTTCTGCAAGTGGGGCATCCACACAGGTATTCCGGCCTGGTTCATTTCCCCACCACACTACCAGCCTGGAGGTTCCACCCTCCTTCCTTGACCCCCTGGCCCATTCCCTGATCCTCACCTTCCATCGGCTTTCAGGGCTCCTAGCCCTGAGCACACTGTGTCCGTGTGTTTAATGCTCCTTATTCCTTCCCATCCCATCTCTGGGGCTCTGGCTCCTACTCTCTGAACACACAGCCCCTAAGGATAAGAGACCATAGGCTAGACCCCCCCACACTCCCAATCCTCAGAACACTAGACAGCCTTAACCTCACTGTTTGGATGTCATTCAATGTCTTAGGGGTGTCCTGGGGCCCTCCTCCATCTTAATTCTTTGCTTAACAGTCTCCATTTATTGAGTTCTTAATAAGCTAATAACTGAGAGGCAGCACAGTGTTGATAGGTGTTCAGTAAATGTTTGTGAATTGAATGGACAAATGACTTTCCTTCTCAGAATCTGTTTCTTTACTTGTAAGGTGGGGCTTATATTAGCACCACCTCCCAGGCCCATTTGTTGGTCCAACAAGCATGTATTGAGCACCTTCTGTATACTAAGATCTAGGTTTGAGGTCTGGGGATCCAGCAGTGTGCAAAAACCCTGCTCTCCTGGGGCTCACAGGAGGGGAGACAAAATAGATAAGTAGGTAAAGAAATGAATATAAAGATTACAGATGGTGGTAGGTATTTGGAAGAAATTAGATGAGATGATGTGATAGGGCTTAGTTTTAGATAAGAGGGTGAGGGAGAACCCCACTGTAGAAGTGGCACTTGAGCTGATCCCAGAAGGATGAATAAAAGCCAGGCACGGGGACATTCAGGAGCAGCGCTTTCTAGGCAGAAGGGACAGCCAGTGCAAAGGCCCTGAGGAAGGAAACAAAAATAGGACCAGTGAGGCTAGAGGTAGTGAGGGATAGGGAAAGTGATGGGAGTTGAGTTCAGGAAGGGGGACACAGTCCAGATACAGGGCTCCGTGGGCTGTGGGGAGAGTCTGTAGACTGGGGATGGGGTGGAGATTAACAGTCCTAGAGGGCGGATTAAATGAATTCATCACTAAAGTGCTTAGCACAGCGTCTGGCATTTGGTAAGCAGTCAGAGCGTTTTTGCTATTATCGCCCTAGTTGGACTGGTATTATTATGTACCTTTCACAGTGTGCTCATGCTCTTTGTTGAAGGGCACCCTTGGTCCCGTCTTAGTCCCCGGGCTAGGCCTCTTAAGTGCAGGGTGAGAATAGTAAGAAAATGATACCCAACACTTATCCAGCACTCACTATGCCCCAGGCACTGTTCTGCGTGCTTTGTGTATGTCAGCTCATTTAGTCTGCTCACAAAATGACCAGGAATGCATTATTACACCCCTTTGACATATGGGGAGACCGAGGCAGAGAAGGGTAGCTTGCCCAGGCAGGAAGAAGTAATGCCAGGATTTGAACCCAGTCCTTTGGCTCGAGTCCATGCTTTGTAGCCCCTGTCCCCCAGTGCCAGGGAGAAATGGAGTCTTACAGCCACAATGGCATCCCCTTCCTGATGGCTGCCTCCCACCCTTCCCTGCCCTGTCAGTGTCCTGGCTCTCATTGCAGGGGCGGCATGGAAGCTCCTGTCAGGCGTCCGGGAGGGCCAAACACAAGTGGACACCCCCCAAATAGGAGACATGGCCTACTGGTCCCACCCCATTGACCTGCACTTCGCCACCAAAGGCCTCCAAGGTGGGTTCCTGGCTGGGCCCTGAGCCAGGCTGAGGGGACAGGGGTTAGCAGCACCCCACGGGGCTGGGACTGGGAACACCAAGTCCTGTCCCTGCTCCCCTGCCCTCTGAGTCCCTTTCCCGGCCAGGCAGGGCCCTGGAGAGGGTGAGCTGAGGCCTCCTATGGCCAGCTCTAGAGTGCCTCAGAGGCCAGGGTGGAGGGGGAAAGGGGAAGGTGGCGACCAGGGGGAGAGAGGCGGTGGCTTTCAAAGAGAAACCAGGAGAGTTTTCAATCAGGAGGAAGCTGGGGGGGTTATGAGAGAGAGAAGCAGGGCAGGTGGCTGTCCTCAGGCAGGGCTCCTGGGCCGTTCAGAGGAGAAATGAGTGTGCGGGGGAGGAAGGGTATCAGAAAATCTTTTCTGGTGGAAAATTTGGGTCATTGGAAAGGAGTGAATTCCAGGAAATAGCCTAGGTAAATATGCCATATATTTCAACAATATAAATAATATTTACTGAGGGCCTGCCCTGTGGTGGGTGATGCAGGGAGATGTCACTGACTGAGACAGTCCCCAGTCCTGTCCTCACAGTGTTCACCATCCCATGGGGGAAACAGAGCTGTCCCCAGCCAGTGGTAGCCCAGAGTGGGCAGGGATGGGATGGGGAATTCTAGCCAGCTATGGGAGCCAAGAGGAGGCTCCTGACTCTGCCAGGGAGTTCCGGGAGGACTTCCTGGAGGAGGGGATGTTTGAGCTTTGCTGTGAGGGGCCAGTTGGAGCTAATAACACAAAGGGAAGGAAGAAGGATGAGGACAGCTGTGTGTGGAAGGCTTAAAGGGAAAGTGAACCGGGGCATTTGGTGGATGGAGGGAAAGCAGGGAGACTGCAGGGGGTGAGGTGGCAAGGGACAGGTCATACAGGGCCTTGAATCCGAGGCCGAGATGCTAAGGCCATCCCCTGAAGGCACTAGGGAGCCACAGCAGGTGACTGACAAGTCAGGTTTTGCTTCTAAGAGACCTTCTGGCTGCTTGTGGGTGATGGATTAGAGACAACTGTCCTTTCACTCTTCAGACCCCAAGTCCTCCACCGGTCCCACCAGACAGCTCCTACCTCAGGGCCTTTCACAGGCTGTTCTCTCTGCTGGGAATGCTCTTCCCTAGATGTCCACATGGCCTGCTCCCTCCTCCCTCCCCTCCTTTAAACATCCACTTCAGTGTCCCTTAGTGAAGCTTTTCTTGACCATTCCCTTTCTAAAACTGCACCCACCCCCACCTACCTAGCTTTACTTTTCTCCAGAGCGGTTATCACCATCTGACATACCCTATAATTTGCTTATTTACTATGTTCGTTGTCTAGGATGTCAGCTACACAAGGGCAGGAATTTTGCTCTGCTCTGTTCATTTCTGTGTCCCCAGCTTGCAGAACAGGGCCTAGCACAGAGGGGCTCAGAAAGAAGAGTGAAATGGGGCTGGATCTCCAAGGGCTTTGCCTAGCAGGCTGAGGAGCTGACTATTCTTAGGACACTGGGAAACCTATGGGAGGAGAAAGATGCTTCCAGGTGCCAGGTGGAAGGTGAATTGGAGAGGGCAAGAAAGAAGTCCCTGAGCCCAGAGAGGACAGGGTGGGTCACAGGGTGGGAACGGGAGAAGCATCTAGGACAAGGCCCAAGGTGCTCGCTCACCTGGGGACTGGGCTGCCCTGAGATGGAGACATGGAGAGGCCACAGAGAAGGAAATCAGCAGAAGCCAGATCCAAAGGGCCTTGAACCTTGAGGTTGGATTTTATCCTGAAGGCAATGGGGAGCCATGGAAGGGCTTTGAGCAGGGGAGGAACATTGATTCAGAAATATCCCTTTGGCTGCTGTGTGGGAGTGGGAATCCAGAGAGGAGGCTGGGGTGGAAACCCAGAGGGGAAAGGACTGAGCCTGGAGTCTCCAGTGGGGATAAAGGGGATGGGGTTCTAAGAGGGGGCGATCAGGCTGTTCCCATCCCTCTCCCTCCTTTCTTGCAGGCTGGCCCCGGCTTCATCTCCAGGTGTGGTCCCAGGATAGCTTTGGCCGCTGCCAGCTTGCAGGCTATGGCTTTTGCCACGTGCCCAGCAGTCCAGGCACCCACCAGCTGGACTGTCCCACATGGCGGCCCCTGGGCAGCTGGCGGGAGCAGCTGGCGCGGGCCTTTGTGGGTGGTGGGCCTCAGTTACTCCATGGGGATGCCATCTACAGTGGGGCCGACCGCTATCGCCTGCATACAGCTGCGGGTGGCACTGTGCACCTTGACCTGAGCCTGTTGCTGCGCCACTTTGACCGCTATGGTGTGGAATGCTGAGGGACTCTGCCTCCACCGCCCCCATCCCCATCCCTGGACACCCATGAGGGGCAGGATGGTGCAGTGGTCAGAAGCGTAGGCTCTGGAGACTGCCAGATATGACCCCAGCCAAGGCATGGGGCTGCTTCTGTCCTGGCTAGCACCTCAAGTCCGGTAGCTGTCCCTCTGAAGTCCAGTTTTCCCATCTGTGAAATGGGGGCAGCAAGTGTGTGGGGTCCCAGGGCTTTGGGGAGAGGAGGCTGCCTGGCACATGGAAGTGTAAATAAAGGAGAGCAGTGCTGAGAGGTGTGGTGCCTTCCTGAACTCCTTCCCTGTCAGATGGCCTGTGCCCCATCCTCCCACTGATACCCTCCTTTCTCAGATCCCCCACCTTCTGACTCGACTCCCCCATCCTTTGACTCAAACTCTGACCCCCTCCCACTCTGGGTGCCCCCTTAGGAACCCCTCTTCTTGGGGTTCATCCTCTGTACCACTGTACCCCTCTGCCCGGCTCCCACTCTTTCCGCTCTGGGTCCCCTCCTCTGCTCCCCTGTACTCTGTGTCCCTATGCTGTGACTGAGCCCTCCTGGCCGGGTCTTCATTCTCTGGGTGACACCCCCACCCCACCCCCGCTCCCCACACAGCCATCAAAGCCACACGGGTCCTGGTCGCCGGCTTTGGTAGCTGTCAGCCGCCAGGAGGCAGCACCCTGTCCTTGGGGCGGGGCCGGGGTGCCCGCCCCCTCCCGGGTGG